CTAATGAACCCAGGCCTGCTCCCACCCCAATGAGTCCTTATCAGACCAATTCTCGTACGGACCCTATTGCCAGCCAGGCCACTGACTGCGCCTAGTTCCCTGGTGAGCTCCTTCAAGGAACTCCCCCTCACCGGGTGTGATCAGTCTCTGCCGTCTCGCCTGTTTAATCCGGTGTCCTCGTCCCACCGTTGTCCTGTCCCTGTCAGGACGCCGCCCCTTGCCCAAGAAACCTGTCGTGATACCTGGATTTAAACTGCAGCCGTTCCATTGAGACGTCTTCATCGCCCGTCTGATCGTGCTGGGGGTCGGCTCTGCTCGTCTGCTGCCCTCCGGACCCCCGGCTTCCATCCCCCTCTGGGGACCCCCCCGGGAACTCTCTCTCTTTCTCCCTCCCCGCCCCCCGAAACGACCTCTGTATGCGCAGCCTCCTGCCCTATGGAAACGGTTTTAACACCTGCAACCGGAGTCAATTCAGATTCCAGGGTGTCACTCTTTTCACTACGCAGAAATAAATAACGGTCATCGTGAAGCGGGTTGCTTCTCTCTTTCTCTTTCGCTCGCTCTTCCTCAAGGGGGTTGTTTGGCTTCCCCATTCGCCCCGCAGCGACACTTCTCACCCCCAAGCGGAAGATCCCGGCAGGGCCCAAACGCCGGTGGGGTTTGCTCATCGCGTGGTTTCCCGGGGAATGATTGTGGGGTGAGAAGGGGATCGGGAGGGGCTGAACTTGGGGGTTTATGAAGATGGCAGCGTAACGTCCTGTCCAATCCAGGCCACGGAGCCCAAAGGCACATGGGGGTGCAGTGGGGAGTTGCTGTTAGCCCAGCCTGCTGAGTCCAGGGACGTACGGCTTTATGAGGATGGCAGCGTAAAGTCCTGTCCAGTCCAGGCCACGGAGCCCAAAGGCACATGGGGGTGCAGTGGGGCGTTGCTGTTAGCCCATCCTGCCGAGTCCAGGGACGTAGGAGGGGTCAGCGTGTCAGAGCTGATGCCCCAGTCTTCTCAGACGTGCTGCGGCAGTGGGGGTGCTAAGGTGGGGAGGACCCCGTCCTGAGGAGCTTAGTTCCTGCAGGGGCGCTCCAGCGGGAGGGGGAATGGGCGGCAGGGAGAATTCAGCCCCATAGGAGAGCACACGCAGCACCCGGATCCAATTGATAAACTCCCCTCCGCCCCAGGAGAGTCACCCTGCTAAATGCGCACACCCCAGAGTATTGGGCAAAGCTGGTAGCCCACCCCCGTCCCATAGGGCCTTTCCCTCCCTTTCATCCTAGTTGGGGCTGGGAGGGACCTGGAGAGCCATGGATCCTGCCCCTGGCTGAGATGGGGCCTTGTAGACCTACCCCCACCCCCGCTCCTGCCCCCTCCCTCTATACCCCAGCAGGCGTCTCTCCATGGTGGCCGTCGGGACATCCAGGGATGGGTGTTCCACGAGCTCCCTTCAGTGCCGATCCCTGAGCACAACGACCCAGGCAAATGGTTTCCCCTCCCATCTGCCCTCAGGCTGCTAGTGTCACATTACTGAAATGGAGGGAAGCAGCCAGATCGCTGCTGCACCCCTAGGTGGGGGTGTTGGCCCCAGAAATTGGTCTGGGGGGAGCCATGTGGGGTATTGAATGGGAGCTTGTTGTTTTCTGATCCTGTGTACACTGTTTATGTGAGTGTATAATGTCTGTGTGTGTAGATCTGCCCCGTCCCATAGGGCCTTTCCCTCCCTTTCATCCTAGTTGGGGCTGGGAGGGACCTGGAGAGCCATGGATCCTGCCCCTGGCTGAGATGGGGCCTTGTAGACCTACCCCCACCCCCGCTCCTGCCCCCTCCCTCTATACCCCAGCAGGCGTCTCTCCATGGTGGCCGTCAGGACATCCAGGGATGGGTGTTCCACGAGCTCCCTTCAGTGCCGATACCCGAGCACAACGACCCAGGCAAATCTGCCCTCAGGCTGCTAGCCTGGCCCGTGCCGTGCCTCAGTTTCCCCACGCAGCAGGTGGAGGCCTTTGGGGTGGCTGAGCCGAGCGGCTCTTGCAAGGCGCCGGAGGAGAGGGGGGCCAGAGAAACACCCCAAGCGGGTGGCCAGTGTGTGGTGAGATTTCACAAGAGCCCGGCCGGGATGACGCGACGCCTCTCGCCTCGCGGAGGAAACAGAGGCTGGGAGGCACGTTCACGCCACACCACAGCAAGGGTGACACTCCTCCCCCCGGGCAGAGCTGGGGCCGGTGGCTGAGTGAGAACCCAGCTCCCAGCCCGGAGCGACTGGATCAGCATGGCGCGGACTCTACTTCTGCTGGGTAAGTGCCCCCCCTCCACCTGTGTCCTTCCTTGCTCGCTCCTACCTCTCCTCCAGCCCTCCTGGCCGGCCGGCTCCCCTCCTTCCTTTGCCCTTTCTCACTCCCCCCTTCCTTTCTCTCTTTTCTCTCTCCCGGCCACTGACTCGCTCTTTCTAGTGTGTTTCTTGCGTGCATGTCTCTGTTATCTCGGTCTGGTTCTTCTGCTGCTCTCTCTCGAGTGGTCTCGAGTCCCTCCTGTTGGCTTGCTGGCTTTCTCCTCCTCCCCCCTGGATTTCCTCTGCTTCGCATCTCTCATGCTTCGGTCTCTGCCTTGCTTTTGCTTTCGAGGGCGTCTCCTTCGAGTTGATGCTTCTGCTTCTTCATGCTGCATGCTCGGTTTTCCGAGGATCCCAGAACCCCAGGGTGGGTGGGGACCTCGGGAGAGACCGAGTCCAGCCCCCTACCCAAAGCAAGACCAACCCCAACTCAATCATTCTAGACAGGGCTTGGTCAAGCCGGGACTTAAACACCTCTAGGGATGGAGGAGATTCCACCCCCTCCCTCGGGAACCCAGCCCGGCGCTTCCCCACCTGCCTAGGGAAATCGTTTTTTCTAATCTCCAACCTAAACCTACCCCACTGCAACAGGAAACCGTTGTTCCTCGTTCTGCCACCTGCCTGCACTGAGACCAGCCTCTCGCCATCCTCTTTGGAACCCCCCTTCAGGGAGTTGCAGGCTGCTCTCAAATCCCCCCTCGCTCTTCTCTTCTGCAGACTGAACAAGCCCCAATCCCTCAGCCTCTCCTCCTAGGTCATGCCCTCCAGCCCCTGAATCAATTTGCTCGCCCTCCGCTGGACCCTCTCCAATGCGCCCACGTCCTTTCTGTAGCGGGGGGCCCAGAACTGGACACAATACTCCAGATGCGGCCTCACCGAAGCCGAATAAAGGGGAATAATGACATCTCTGGACCTGCTGGCATTTACAGGCAGTCCCCGGGTTACGTACAAGATAGGGACGGTAGGTTTGTTCTTAAGTTGAATCTGTATGTAAGTCAGAACTGATCAGTTTCAACAGCGGCTGAATCTGGACGCCAGTTCCGACTTACATACAGATTCAACTGAAGAACCCCAGGCGTCCCCAAGTCAGCTGCTGCTGAAACTGATCAGCAGCTGATTCCAGGAAGCCCGGAGCAGGGTGCAGTGGGGAGTTGCTGTTAGCCCAGCCTGCTGAGTCCAGGGACGTAGGAGGGGTCAGCATGTGAGAGCTGATGCCCCAGTCTTCTCAGACGTGCTGCGGCAGTGGGGGTGCTAAGGTGGGGAGGACCCCGTCCTGAGGAGCTTAGTTCCTGCAGGGGCGCTCCAGCGGGAGGGGGAATGGGCGGCAGGGAGAATTCAGCCCCATAGGAGAGCACACGCAGCACCCGGATCCAATTGATAAACTCCCCTCCGCCCCAGGAGAGTCACCCTGCTAAATGCGCACACCCCAGAGTATTGGGCAAAGCTGGTAGCCCACCCCCGTCCCATAGGGCCTTTCCCTCCCTTTCATCCTAGTTGGGGCTGGGAGGGACCTGGAGAGCCATGGATCCTGCCCCTGGCTGAGATGGGGCCTTGTAGACCTACCCCCACCCCCGCTCCTGCCCCCTCCCTCTATACCCCAGCAGGCGTCTCTCCATGGTGGCCGTCAGGACATCCAGGGATGGGTGTTCCACGAGCTCCCTTCAGTGCCGATACCCGAGCACAACGACCCAGGCAAATCTGCCCTCAGGCTGCTAGCCTGGCCCGTGCCGTGCCTCAGTTTCCCCACGCAGCAGGTGGAGGCCTTTGGGGTGGCTGAGCCGAGCGGCTCTTGCAAGGCGCCGGAGGAGAGGGGGGCCAGAGAAACACCCCAAGCGGGTGGCCAGTGTGTGGTGAGATTTCACAAGAGCCCGGCCGGGATGACGCGACGCCTCTCGCCTCGCGGAGGAAACAGAGGCTGGGAGGCACGTTCACGCCACACCACAGCAAGGGTGACACTCCTCCCCCCGGGCAGAGCTGGGGCCGGTGGCTGAGTGAGAACCCAGCTCCCAGCCCGGAGCGACTGGATCAGCATGGCGCGGACTCTACTTCTGCTGGGTAAGCGCCCCCCTCCACCTGTGCCCTTCCTTGCTCGCTCCTACCTCTCCTCCAGCCCTCCTGGCCAGCCGGCTCCCCCCCTTCCTTCGCCCTTTCTCACTCCCCCCTTCCTTTCTCTCTTTTCTCTCTCCCGGCCACTGACTCGCTCTTTCTAGTGTGTTTCTTGCTTGCTTGTCTCTGTTATCGTGGTCTGGTTCTTCCGCTGCTCTCTCTTGAGCGGTCTTGTGTCTTTCCTCGTCTTGCTGGCTCTCTCCTCCTCCCCCCTGGATTTCCTCCGCTTCGCGTCTCGTGTTTCAGTCTCTGCTTTGCTCTTGCTTTCAAGGGCGTCTCCTACTAAGCGGGTGCTTCTGCTTTTCCATGCTGCAGGCTTGGTTTTCCGAGGATCCCAGGACGGGTGGGGACCTTGGGAGAGAGTGTTTCCAGCCCCCTGGCCAAAGCAAGACCAACCCCAACTCAACCAACCCAGCCAGGGCTTGATCAAGCCGGGACTTAAACACCTCTAGGGATGGAGATTCCACCCCCTCCCTCGGGAACCCAGCCCAGCGCTTCCCCTCCCGCTTAGGGAAATCGTTTTTCCTAATCTCCAACCTAAACCTACCCCACTGCAACTTGAGACCGTTGCTCCTTGTTCTGCCACCTGCCCCCACTGGGAACAGCCTCTCGCCAGCCTCTTAATGCAACCTAATATGCCATTAGCCTTCTTGGCTACAAGGGCCCCTGTTGGCTCATCTCCAGCTTCTCATCCACTGTAGCCCCCAGGGCCTTTTCTGCTGAACTGCTGCTTAGCCCGTCGGTCCCCAGCCTGTAACAATGTTTGGGATTCTTCCACCCCAAGGGCAGGACTCTGCACTTGTCCCTGTTGAACTTGTTTTTCTCCTTTTCCTTTTTCTTTTTTTTTTCTTTCCAGATCGTTCTACTGTTTTGCTTTCTCTTTCTTGTCTTCCTGGCTGTCTCCCTGGCAGTCTGTCCTTCTGGGTCCTCTCTCTGCATTTTCTTTCTTTCTTTCTTTCTTTCTTTCTTTCTTTCTTTCTTTCACACCTGAGCTGCACTATCCCATAGTCCACGCCCCCTCTCCCCTCTCTCCCCACCTTTTTCCTCGCATCCCTAACTCCCAGCATACTTGTCCTCCCCTTCCTCCCAGCCCAGAACCATCACTCATCCTCTCTTTTCTCTTTCAGCCACTCTTCAGCTTCTGCCCCGGCTGGTGCTCCTTCAAGGTAATGTGGACTTCTGAGCCAGCTACAATAATTCATTTTGGGGTGGGAAAGTCTCTGGAGAAGGATTTCTCAGGGCTTATGCTCTGGGGCTTGGGATCTTGGGGGGGGGGATCTGTGGGGGGAACCCATCCATCTCCCCCATGCGAAGACCAATCTCTCTTCATCCAGCCCCAGCTCAGAGTCACCTTCTGATTCCACGTATGAGGGAAGTCAGTGGGTTCTTTGCCCAGGGAGTTTGGAGGCTGCATGGGCACATTGCTGCCCCCTAGTGGGAAGCAAGGGATAGGGTGTGTTTTGGGGGTCTTCTTCCCCAAGGGCTTGAGTTTAGGTGCCCACCCCATTGATGCAGAACATCTGGCTCCTTCCCCTTCTCCATCACCGCCCTTCTCCTGTCCTTTCCCCGCCATTCTCTGCCCATCTGCTCCAGGGGGGTGGGTCCTAAGTCTCCAATTGGGCCTGTCGGTAGCAAATCCAGAGCAGCCAGGCTCCTCTCCTGGCTGCCACTTCTGCCTTCCTTCCCAGCTGGTGCCCATGGACGTTTTCCTTCCCCAGGTACCTCTGAAGCCCCATCCCTGTCTATGCAGCCCGAGAAGCCGGAGTACCTCCCCGGAGACATTGTGGAGATGACATGCACCGCTCCCACTTCGGTGGCTGGAATCCAAGGCTTCCAGTTCAACAACGGTATTGGGAAGTCCATCACAGTCACCGCTTCCTCCACGGGAAGTGAGACCTACAACCTGAGCCTCGCGGGGTCTCAGGACGGGGGGTTGTACCATTGCAGATACTCGCTGATGCAAGGTGGTTCTCAGATCACATCCAGCTGGAGCAATAAGATCCCCATCAGAGCGAGAGGTGAGCTCGGTGAACCCTTCCAAGGCACATAAACACATAGGCAAACAAAAATATGACAAGGAAGGAGCCAGCAACACAGTCCCCCTAGACAAAAATATGACAAGGAAGAAGCCAGCGACACAGTCCCCCAGATGTCATTTAGATCCTAACAATGGCTGCCCCACATGGCTGATTTCTCAGTCAATACAGTTACCCTACATGGTAGACTAACTGAAAAGAACATGGCTGTTCCATTGCAAACATGGCCACCAGCGTGGTCACTCAACAGCCACCCTTTTGTGACCCACCATGCCTACCCAATGGCCAACAACATGTTGCTCAACATGCCTACCCAATGGCCAACAACATGTTACTCAACTTGCCTGCTCATGACACTCAACGTGCCTACTCAATGGCCAACCTCATGGCACTCAACGTGCCCACACAATGGCCTACATCATGGCACTCAACGTGCCCACACAATGGCCAACAACATACCTAGACAACTACAGAGCACTCAACATGCCTAAGGCATGGTCAACAACATGGCACTCAAAGCGCCTACTCAGTTGTTCAAAGCTTATCACCCAATATCCCTACATGGCGACACACGAGATGCACCCCTGCCTCCCTGAGAACAACTGAGTGCCTCCACTCCCAGAAACAGGTTGCCCAATGTGGAAATTAATGTCTAGCAACACTTGTCTAGTAGCAAGCCTAGACTCTCACTTGCAGCTACATGTTAATCCTCATGTAGGGAGGCCCGAGGTATCAGATGAAATTTATACGTGTCGAATTTAGGGCAACCTCTCTGCTTTCTCTCGATCTCCTATCCCCCCACCCTGATTCATGCTCAGATTACCCTCCCTGGCCGGTGCTGACTGTGGATCCTCCATTTGGAGTGGTGAGAGACGGGCTCCCGCCCATTATCACCTGCACGGCTCCGGACAATCCTGGTGAACGGCGGTTTCACTTCTACAAGGATGGATCCAAGTTTCCCCCTGGGGACACAGAGCTGAAGGGCAACGCAGCAGAGACAAAGGCCAGCTCTCAGAAGCTCCACATCCCACAGGCCGGTCCCGACAGCGCCGGGGAATTCGCCTGCGCGTACGAGGAGAACATGAACGGGAGGTGGCTTCTGTCCTTCAGGAGCTTGGCTGTCAACGTGACCATGACAGGTGACCGAACACACACAGACACACGTACCCACAGAGCAGGGCTCCTCCCCTCCAGCAGGGGGCAGTGGAGACACCACTATGTGCTATTTCATATCGATTTGTGTCTTTTTACAGAGTGCAGCAATTTCTGCAGCTGGCTTTGTGAGGGTTTTTCTAAACCATGAACGGCCTCCTCTTCCTCCTCTTCCACCTCTACATGATGAGGGAAGGTAATTGCCTCATTCTGGGGTAGAGACACATTTCCCTCTCCTCCCTTCCTCAGTTTCCCCAGAACGTTGGAGGAGCCTTGATATTTCTCTGCCCAAGTCTCCCCTGGGACAACGGCTAGTGCTGGAAGTAACTCTGAGCTGTCTACCAGCTCTGTAGTTTCCCCTCAAATCCCTCTGTCCCACCTGCCAAAATGCAGCTGTCTCTGGGGAGCTGCAGCCGAGTAACTGCCATGCAGACATACTGCCAAGGCATCTGCCAGGTTGAAAGGCAACTCTTTTGTGGGTGGATGTGGCAACCACAGCGCAGAGCCAGAGCGGGGTGGCCTCCCTGGATGCGGCCACCCCTGGGGTGGGAGACGGGAGCTGTTCCGCCGCCGGAGGTAGATGGGGATGCACTGCAGGCCAGAAACAAATGGGAACACAGAGGCCTAGGGAAGCCGTACCATCCGTGGGGGGACCTCTAAATGCAGCACAGCGCCCCCTAGTGCAACACTGAGGTGTGGGGGTCAGCACTACTTGGAAGGCGAAAGTGCCCCCTACTGAGCCTCCCAGGCCTGCTCCCTGCAGCCCAGCGCCGCCTACTGGACCTCTACTCTACTCCCTGCAGGCTAGCGCCCCCTGGTGGGCTCCCACTGCAGTCTCTGCAGCACAGCGCCACCTGTTGGGCCCTCCCAGTCCCTGCAGCCCAGAGCCCCCTTGCTAAGCCTCCGGCCCCAGTGTGACTGTTTTCGTGGGCATCCTCACTCGCGTCTCTCTTTCTCAGGTCCCAAGCCCACAGAGGGCTCAGCTCCATTGCAAGGGGAGTATTGCTCTGTTCCCTTTCTGTTAGTCGCTGATCAGTCCGGCCAGTCTGGCCCCGTCTATACAAGCCAGGCTTCCAGCCCCACCCCCCAGCCCACCCAGACAATGAGTACAAGGAATAGATGCGAAGGCTCATCTCCTGATGGGGTGTGTTGAAAGAAAGAAAGAAAGAAAGAAAGAAAGAAAGAAAGAAAGAAAGAAAGAAAGAAAGAAAGAAAGAAAGAAAGAAAGTTCCTTTGCATTTCTCCTGAGGTCGTCCTGCTCTACATATATTCCAGGCTGTGTGTTCCCCTCTCCAGCTTTTCATTAAACCCCGCTGGCCTCTGAGTTTGGGTTCCTTCACTGTGGTTATTTTCTCCCCTGCATGGTGTGTGTCCTTGGTCCCGCATTGCTGCTGCACACAGGGTGATTCTCCTCCGAACCACAAGTGGCAACTTCTTCCCCTCTGGCACTGGGCAGAGGTTGGCAGTTCCCACCAATCCCTGAGCTGCTTCCTGGAGCGGAAAATGGCAAGGGGGGAGGAGGGAAGAGCTGGATTCCCTGAGCACAAAACACAAAGGGGTGGAGACGAGGCCAGTGGCTGAGGGAGAACCGAGGACTCAGCCCAGAGGAAGCCACTTAGCAGAGCGCTAACTACCTATGCTGCTCCCGCTACCCCAGTGTCCTGTCCTCCGACAGCGGCCAACGCCTGGTGCCCCAGAGGGTGGGAACTGAAGAAATGAAATAAGAATATTCTCCTAATCACAGAACCCTAGAACGGGAAGGGACCATGGGAGTCATCAAGTCCCGTCCTCCGCCCTTGGCAGGACCAAGCACCGTCTAGCCCATCCCTGACAGGTGTCTGTCCAACCTGCTCTTCAATATCTCCAGGGATGGAGAGTCCAGAAACGCCACCCGACAACTTATCCCAGTGTTTCACCACCCTGAAAGGCAGGAAGTTTTTTCCTAATGTCCAACCGAAACCTCCCTTGCTGCAGCTTAAGGCCCATTGCTTCTTATCCCGTCCTCACAGGCCAAAGAGAACAATTTTTCTCCCTTCTCCCTGGGACACGCTTTTAGGTACTTGAAAGCCACTAGCGCGTCTCCTCTCCGTCTTCTCCTTTCCAAACTAAACAAACCCAATTCTTTCAGCCTTCCCTCCTAGTTGATGTTCTCTAGACCTGTTGCTCTTCTCTGGACCTTCTCCAATTCCTCCACCTCTTCCCTGAAATGCGGTGCCCAGAACTGGACCCAAGCCTCCAACTGAGGCCTCATCCGGGCAGCGTAGAGCGGAAGAACGACTCCTCGTGTCTTGCTCACAACCCTCCTGGTCACGCAGCCCAGAATCTTTTTCGCTTTACTTGCAAAAGCGTCACCCTGCGGAGTCCTATTTCGCTTGTGACCCCCTCTGACGCCTAGATCCCTTTTTGCAGGACTCCTTCCTAGACAGACGCTTCCCCTTCTGGGCGTGTGACACGGATTGCTCCTTCCTAAGAGCAGCACTTCGCGTTTCTTCTCAAACTTCCTCCTGTTGCCCTCCGACCGTTTCTCCAGTTTGTCCAGATCATGTTGAATTAAGACCCAGCAGCACTTCGCGTTTCTTCTCAAACTTCCTCCTGTTGCCCTCCGACCGTTTCTCCAGTTTGTCCAGATCATGTTGAATTAAGACCCGTCCTCCAGAGCACTCGCAACCCTGCCCAGCTTGGGAGCATCGGTAAACGTAAGAAGCGTCCTGTCTATGCCGATATCGAAATCGTTGAGGACGATCTTGAACAGAACCGGTCCCACCATAGACCCCTGCGGATCCCGACTTGTTCTGCCCTTCCAGCAGGACTGGCCAGTGACAATCTACCACCCTTCCCGAAATACCATCCCTCACTCACACAGACCTCTGGGTTGTGGCTTTGTGGGCGGAGTGTCCCCATGCCTGGCGCCCCCTTGTGGCCATAGGTTTTCTTGCAAGACTCTTCTTCCCCCTCATTTCTCCGCACCCCTGCCTTCAGATACAACCCTAACCCATCCCTGTCTCTCTAACTGGGCAGGTCTCTTACCCTGCCATGACTCAGTTTCCCCTCTGGCAAACAAGCCCTCTCAGGGCAGCCCCAAAGAGCAAACCCTGTTGCGAAGCACCTGTCGGCCACTGAGAAAAATCGAGGTTTACAGGATCGTGCGTAAAAGGAAGTTTTTTCCCCGACAAATGGCCCGGTCTACACAGGGTGTTTTAAAGGCAGAACCTATTCCGCAAACAGGATCGGCAGACGATATGCAAATGAGAGTGCAAGAGATGCAAATGAATGTGCCATTTGCATAGCCTCTTCTGCAAAAAACCCCACAAACGTAGCCCCAGGGATTGCTTGATTTGGAAAGTTTGCAGTGTAGAAAGGTGTTGATTTATTTGGGCATTTTATCAATAGCCGTGAGGAGTGGGTCTAATTGTATTCATCTCCTGTTTATTAATATTCATGGTGTCGGAGATAAGATGACTAATAAGGAACGGAGCAATCGGTGTGCGAATTAACAGACTAAAATAGATCAAGGGGTATCATTGGTGCCCAATTGTGGCCATGCGGACGTTGTGTCAAACGTCCAAGGTGAACATGCGTGGGCAAGAAAGCAGCTTCATTTACCATCTCCGTTCCTGGAGTGCCTGTTTCTTCTCGGACAGGTCTGTCTCTCGTGTCTTGGAGCATGGATCGCTCTTGGGTGCGAAGTTGGCGATCTGGGGGTGCAATGGATTATGGGTTTACCTGGAAGCCACCCAGGGTGTTTTCCTCAAGGTCTAGCTGATCATCTGTAAACAGCCTCCTTCCTCCTTTGAGTCAAGGCAGGGGTTAGTCGTACGAAGACACGGGACGACTTCGCCCAGCTGGGAATTGTCCACGGAAGGGAGGAATGTAGAAACCGAGAATTCCCACCCTAAAGAGGAGGCTCTTTAAGATACGAAGTTTTGGGTCTTTGGCCCACCCAAGAGAATGGCCCAAACCATCGTCCCGGGCTTGCAGGCGGAGCTGGAGTAAGGACCGGTGTGGGGGGAGTTTGTAAGAAGTTGCTGGGAAGGGTTGGAATTGGCGCCGTGTTTTGGGGTGGTTCAGATTTGTCATTTCTCTTGCTTGGCCTGTTTGCACTCGAAATCCCTTAAATCCGACCGGTTGTAATAAAATCCCAAGTGTGGACTCTCCCGTGTCAATCATTGTGACGGGGACGGGGGGCATTAGAGGGAGCATCCTCCTCTCGCTGTGAAAGGGGGCTGGGCGGGAGGGTTATTAGTCTGGGGTAAAAGGAAACCCGGATGGGACCCGGCAGGGATACAAGGCGGCGAGACACACGCTGCCAAGGGGCCCTTGTGCTCCTCATGATGTGGCTGTTAAAACAGCAGGGGGCAGCAGATCCACACACACACACACACACACACACACACAGCTGGGCTCCTCCCTTCCAGCAGGGGGAAGAAGATACAGACACAGACACAC